ATGAAGCAATAGTTCCTCCTTGAAATAGGGTTCAAAGTTCTAAAACAAGCTTGGAGCAATGGTGCAAGGCATAAATCCACTCTCAATAGGACAAGTTTTGACCCAATAGGACAAACCATATGAGTCCTCATTGAGAATAGGCAACATAAGACCTTCAAATACGAGTTTCTCAAAAAAATAAGATCTCCCACGTGTCTTCTACATCCAATTTAAATGTCAAGCAAACCATATGTTCCTAAAATCCCTCGTGTTCTCGGCAGAGAAACAGAACCAGAAGACAAAGAAAACCCACTTAATTATTCGCACCTCTAATTTATCAGACAAGAGCACAAATAAAAAACACTAAACCAACGGAAAACTTGGTAAAACAAGTTTTACTGGGGTACGTAATAGCCTTAAACTTGACTTCCAAAACATATTGCATGCGTTAAACCAGCACGATTAATAATTCCACTACATTGACAAATCATCAAATTAAAACCCATCATAAACATATAATTCTCTTGCAATCAAAACCCAATATTTTCTAACTAAAAAAACTAAAAAAACTAAAAAAAATATACCTTTATCCAAGATAGTGTGAGCAGCATGAAATGGAATGCAAGCAAAAACATCACTTCCTGGAAACATCATCCAAGTTTTCTCTTTCTCGTCATGATTACCACAAGTCCCACAAATTTCTTTCACTAAAGGAGCAGTCCTTGATCCCGACTTCCCAATATCCTTCATTATCGACTCAAAGGGAGACTTTATGCTTGTTTTTGTAGTCCTGGCTCTCTTCCTTAAAGCTGTCAATGCTTCTCTGTTTCCGTTTCTCTCTTTATCATTTTCAATCACCTGATAAAAATAAAACAAAGTGAATTTTTGAAAAGGATAATTTGCAAAGATATTTTTTTAAGGTTTTAAAGTGTACCTGATTTCGAGCTAATAGGAGATGCTCGGCTTCGATTTCGAGCTCGATTAAGCTTTGTTGGAATTGCTGCATTCCTTCATCCATTTTTTGGGGGGGTTATAAGAGAATATGTAAAAGCCCTGGTTTAGGGTTTTAGAATTTACTCGGCGGAGGCTATGCAGTGTTTGCTCGAGCGGGTCGAGGACCAGTCATCTGTGCAAGACTGTCCGAGTGGGAGAAATGAGCTTGGGGTTTTGGGATTTAGAGTGTTTTGAAGATTAATAACAAACAGACTGTGCTTGGGATAACTTTGTTTATGTTTTTGGATACTTTTTTAAAAGTATATTTGAAAAAATAATAAATGATTTTTTTTAGTACTTTTTAATGTTTTGATATGTGTTAAACATAAATAAAAATATATTTATTTTGATATAGCTTTAAGTAAAAATCTATTTTAAAAAATACCCTATATTAAACACACAAAAACTTATTATTATTAAATAATAAACATGAGAAAAAATACAATATTTTTAGGTGTTAAAAGTATTTTAAATTATTATTATTAAATAATAAACATGAGAAAGAAAAAATACAAGATTTTTTGTTCAATTTGATTTTAAATTTTTTAATTAATTTTTTGATTATTTAAGATCATATATGAATTTATTAGGATTTAAAGTGTATATATAATATATAGTATTTGAGATTAATTTTTGGGTTAAAAATAAATTTTCAAGGAAAAAATAATATTATCATTAACTTTTTAATCATTATAATAGCTAAAATTTAGAGGAAAAAAAATAGGTAACGCATCACGTGGTTATTCTTCTTTTAAAAACTTTCTGGGTTGATGAAAGGTCATCCACCTTTTAAGAATTCTTTTTCTTTTTTTTTTTAAAAAAAAAAACAGTTTATACACTCAAGTTTATGCTGAAAGTCCCCCTTATTTAAGCATTTTTAAATTTAGATTTGTTGTGCCATTTAGATTAGGCTCACGTGTTCGAGTTTTTTTTTTGTTTATTTATTATTTTTTTATTTTTCTATAAATTTCATTTTTTAATGACGATTTCTTATTGAAATTTTTTATTGGCTTTTTTTACACTTTTTAACAAATTTTTATGATGATTCCTTTTTAATTTTATACAGTTTATTTTCTATTTATTTTATGAATAAAATCTCAATATTTTTATATGATATTAAGAGGTCTTTTTTTTAGCATTACTTAAATTTTTTTCTTGATTTTTATCAATTATTTTTAAGCATTTATTTTTTTATTAAATAAAAAATTAGCTCGAAGAAAAAAAATTATTACAAACTATCATAGGATATATTGATCCATGCTATAAAATTAAATTCCTTGATTTATATCTCTTAATTTTTTTAATTTAATCTTTAGTTTACTTAAATTACTTTATTTATTTATTTATTAGCTTAAAGTATTCTTGTTTTATTTAATTTAATATATGCATCAAATTTTTAATTTAAAAATTAAATTTTTATGTAAAAAAGTGTATTGAAAAAACATGCATATTTCTTTTATTTTGTATTAAAAAGGAAACTTATCTTTCCATGACAAAGCAAAGGTTCAATAGCTAGTATTATACTATTTTACTTGCAGAACTTATATATTAAGAATTTGTTTATTTTTGTGTTTAAAAGTTTAAAAAATTAATTTTTTTATTTATTTTATTTTACTTGCAGAACTTATATATTAAGAATTTGTTTGTTTTTGTGTTTAAAAAAATTTTCTTTTAAAAATTAATTTTTTATTTATTTTAATTTTTTTTGTGTTTTCATATTTTTTATGCACAAAAATTAATTTATTTATTTATTTTAAATTTTTTGTGTTTTTATATTTTTTATGTACTTATTTTTTTATTAAATAAAAAATTAGCTCCAAGAAAAAAAACTATCATAGGATATATTTATATCTCTTAATTTTTTTAAATTAATCTTTAGTTTACTTAAACGACTTTATTTATTTATTTATTAGCTTAAAGTATTCTTGTTTTATTTAATTTAATATATGCATCAAATTTTTAATTTAAAAATTAGATTTTTATGTAAAAAAGTGTATTGAAAAAACATGCATATTTCTTTTATTTTGTATTAAAAAGGAAACTTATCTTTCCATGACAAAGCAAAGGTTCAATAGCTAGTATTATACTATTTTACTTGCAGAACTTATATATTAAGAATTTGTTTGTTTTTGTGTTTAAAAAACTTTTAAAAATTAATTTTTTATTTATTTTAATTTTTTTTGTGTTTTCATATTTTTTATGCACTGTTATTAAAAATAATTTTAAAAAATAAAAAATATATATATTATTTTAATACATTTTTTAATAAAAAAAATTAAAAAACCAACATTACCACATATCTAAACACCCTCTTAGACCAAGAAGGCTCATGGCTCAATCTATCAACACGAATTAACCAGTATATATATAAAAAAATAGTATATATATATATATATATATATATATTATTTTAATACATTTTTTAATAAAAAAAATTAAAAAACCAACATTACCACATATCTAAACACCCTCTTAGACCAAGAAGGCTCATGGCTCAATCTATCAACACGAATTAACCACCTTCTAACTGGCTTCTACATAAAAAAGGTATATATATTTGACAAGGAGTTTTAATCCATATAAATACTTATATAAATAAATTAATTATTAATATTTTTTATATTTTTACTTCTATCTATCTTTTTAGTATCTAATTTTTTAAAATATATTTTTTTTAAATCTCTTTTATCTAAATTAAAATATAGTAGTTACATCTTTAAACCACATATTGAAGAATTAAATAACATATATAAAAAAATAAAGACACAATTAAACATATAAATACATATTAAAAAAACATATCCAATTATACAACGGTAAATTGAATCATCTACACTTATATAATTCAAGCAAGTGTTGAAATGAAAAACATAATTTCATCAAATTAAATGGAAAAACTTGATGAAAAAACATATTAAAATATAGATATTATACAAAAACATAATAGATATAATTAAAAATGTAAAGATGCATTACATACTTGTTTGGCTATAGAAGAATAAATTGAGCCATTTACTTCATTCTATCTATATCTTATTATATTCTTTTTTTTTCACATCCTTTTCTTGGAGAAAAAAATTCACTTATCATTTGACCCAACACCTAGAAAATTTTGGTGATTCATTAGGACGCAGCAATTTGTTTCACTGTACACCACAGCACCCACGGGAATAATAAGCAGCTTTATTTTTATTTTATTTTATTTTATTTGAAAAAAAAACAAAGCATTTACTCTTTGGCAACAAGTGTATATTATAGGACTGTTTATTTTTTATTTTAAAAAACATTTTAAAAAAATTTACTTTAAATTATTAATTTTTTATTATTTTAAATCATTTTGATATGATAATATCAAAAATAATTTTTTAAAAATTATTATTACACTTTTAGCAGTAGAAATAATCCTTTCCATTAGATTATTATAAACAAATTACGAGCTTCGTTTAGCTGAAAAAAAAATAATTGATAAGATTAGTGTTTATTTTTTAAAATTTTTTTTAATATTAATAATTTAAAAATAATTTTTTTTTAAAAAGAAAAAGTAAAACCGCAAAAACAAATACAGAAAGAAGAGTGCATTTATGTTTGATTCAGACATGAATAAGCCAAAGACTGTTCTCTCGTTAGTTCTTTCATGCTTGCATCCATCTTCTCTCTTGAGAACTCATTAATCTTGAGACCTGCCATTAAAAGAATAAGGTTTCAACAATCAGTACAGAATGACTTGACATTCTTTTGAACATCACTCGTGCCTGAAATGACGAGTTCTGTAGCCTGAGTTATGCAACCACATTACAGTGGTAAATGGTATTATAAAACTCAGGAGATCCAAGCAAATTTTAGCTATTATTGAAAATATAAATATATATAAATATATTGGCTAAGATCTTCATAGCGATCTGCCAATCTTGCCGAAATCTAGCCATTCTTGTGCCAATTGATGCATACAGAACTTACCCTGCACAATTGACCATTCTCCTTTTTGGCAAGTAACAGGAAAGGAGTAGATGATGTCAGGTTGGATACCATAAGAACCATCAGAATACAATCCCATGGAAACCCAAGTTCCCTGATTTAAAAATGCAAACAAAGGAAGAAAGGAAATTAATTTGATGGGCAGCAATATAAAAAACAGGCCCCAACTTCACCATATACTAGTCCAAAGAATCTACCTTGGCAGTGCCAATAATCCAGTCATGTACATGGTCGCAAGCAGCACTTGCAGCAGATAATGCGCTTGACAGTTTCCGGGCTTTGATGATTTCAGCACCACGTTCCCGCACTGAATTGATGTACTCAGAATCTATCCTGTAAAAACATTAGACCACATATCGCCTGTAGGTAATAGAGTAGAATGCGAATATAGGATGATTTCAAAACATGTATTTCAACTAAGTTTATACATCCTCGACGAAACGAGAACAGGGCAGGCGAGGAACTTCGGCCTACCAATGATCATCAGCAACAAGTTCTCTGACAGACTTCTCTCCGCTGTCGGTGGTGGCAGTGGCATAATTGGCATCTGGATATTGGGTTGAAGAATGATTTCCCCATATGATTACATTCTTTACATCTCTAACGTCAACATTTAGCCTCTCGGAGATGTGACTTAGGGCTCGATTATGGTCAAGTCTTGTAAGACATGTGATATTCTTAACTGGGATTGAAGGGGCGAATTCTTTCAAAATGAGTGCATTAGTGTTTGCAGGATTGGCAACCACCAGGATCTGCAAAGAAAAGCAGTAAAAGACATCACCTTTCGATTACAATGACAGCAATTGACTGAAGTCAATTCCTTGCTTATTTTAACCTTGCAATCAGGAGCAGCATGTTGCTCTAAAGCTGAAGCTTGAGCCTTGAAGATTGGTGCGTTTTTATGCATCACATCTCTCCTTTCCATTCCTTCCTTACAGGGAAAACCACCGACCATAACAGCAATGTTAACACCTTTACAAGCTTCATTGACATCCGTTGTAGCGAGAATACCTATGGAATCACAAATGCAATACACTCATGTCAGGCATTTGACGGCAGCAGCTGGTGAATTCTACATCAAACTAACCCTCAAAATTAAGAGCTATACCTTGGAGAAGAGGGAAGGCAGCATCTATTAGTTCCATTCTCACCCCTTTCAAGGACTCGGCAACAGGTTGAATGTCAAGTAAGTGCAGGATTACAGGCTGATCTGGCCCTAACATGATTCCTCTTGCAATCATTGGGG